CTCCCTTTTCGGTGGCGATCCTTTTATAACAACCACTGCAGCGACGAACTGTTTCTCGTTTCATTCCTTTAACTTCCTCAAGTCTGTGCATATGCCCCGACGGTGGCGAAGAAGAAACTGACAGAGATGATAGTGATTTTATTATTGGAAAATTTAGGCTGATATTAGAATTGCATTTCCACCATTAGCAAAAAATTGGCCTTGCACTACAATAACCCATGAATTTTTTTAAACTTATCAAAACAAATCCTTATGATGCCTACGACTTCGCGCATAAAAGAGTAAATATAGACAGGCAAACAGAAGGTTGTTCAAGGTGTTGTAACTAAACAAGTAATTCAGAATGAATAAGCTATGTCAAATTCATTCACTACCTAGTTTTGGGCTTCAAACCCGCCAGGCTGGTCTTGTCTTCCCACCCAACAGCGAGTCAAATCGTCACAGTAAGTAACATGTTTTGGGACGCATAAGACGGATATGTATTGCGCTGAGATTAGTGGATGCATTTTCAAAAATTCCTCTTTATTTTTTTCTTCAGCATCAACTAAAGAATATATGAATTACTATTATCAACATGCCGTTACCTCTTTCTATGGTTTTTTTTTTTGACGTTTCAATTTAAGACGGTAAGCTAATAGACCCGCATCGCTCGCTTGCCGCTTCTCATGTTTGGTGTCAAATACGAGATGCACGGCCATAATGTGAGACAAAATTAGTGCGACTATCGACAAAAACGGACAAACGTTTCAAACCAAGAGTTCTAAATTAAATGCAAAAAATTGATAGTTCAAAAGTAACGTCAGGAGACTTCTTCGATACCTAAAATTTTTTGAGATGTAATCTATATCAAAGTATTTGCACTGGAGTGGAACACTTCATCAGTGTAGTCACTGTTAAGTTTCCTATTAAACATTGTATATTCGCCGCAATTCCTAATAATTTTTATTACATTGCATTCTGAGCGAACAAAGTCAATAAACCATCGATCCTCAAAATTGCCTTAGATGTGATTAATACTCTCTGTAAACGAACCATTAAAGCTTATTTTTAAATTCCTCTCTTTAAAGTCCGGCATTCATTAATGACTGGTAACAGAAGCCCTAAATCACTATAATCCTATGGTCGCATGTACAACCGGTTGTACCCCTCCTCCATTCTCAAAAATCGTGAAGTGCACGCGTAAAAGCTGTCTTGTCGCGAACGTGTTGTTAAAGTTGTTATAGACTATGAATATTTTGATTTAACGTCCCTAAAATGCTGAACATTCAGTGACTTAATGACGCTCCGCTATATCAACATGTACAATGCGGAGACGCGGTTGTCACGTTTGTGAG